TTTAAAATTATAAATGAACAAATTCTACGCCATTTGGAAGGAATAAAATTTTTATTAATGGCCTAACATTAAGTACTTCTATATAAATAATCGATACTCGAATCGGTTGAGATATAAATTGTATTTGAATCGAAGAAAATATTTTTGGGATATTGAATTCATAAGAAATTTGGCATCCTAGGAATTATAAATTCAAATCACGATAAATGTATTCCATCATGTGGAGAGTTGGCAAAGAGTTTTCACAGCAAAATTGTCCGAAATTTGTAGTGCACACGCTTTCCACATGCTGAAATACAATAAATCAAATATAATGGTTCAAATTTAATCGCCTTAAATAAATGTCCAGAGTTTACAAATCCCCTTTACAAATTCAATATCCAAAAAATCAATTTGACATGAATATTTATTTATATAATATTTTTAATGGTTATTGTATAAAAAAAAAGAAAAAAAATCCACCATAATCTTTTTTGTAAAATATATCTAAATTTACTTAATTCTTTCCATTTTTTTTTTGTATGAAGTGATTTACTAGCTTATTAAAAAAAAATCGCATTCCTTGAATATTTAAATATATTTTAATAAGTGGATGATTTAAATAAATTATTAACTTATTTCATCTAAAAATATGATTTTATTGAATGGGTCAGATCTATAAAATGGTGTCAATGAAAATTTAATAAAAATGATTATCTTGCTTATTTTTTTAATTTGTTATAAACAACAGAACCCCAAAAAAGTCCCTCATTTTATTAGTTAATGCATATTTAACATAATATAATTTTTAACACTAACTTATAATAAAAAGGGTGGAGATAAAAATAAATTTTGATGTTAGAGATAAATCTAACAAATTTTATAAACCTATTAAAAACTCATACATCTTTTAAAAATAATTCAGACCAGCCTATTTTAGGTAAAGTTAATAATTTTTAATTTTAAATAGTTAATTAATGTGTAGCAATTGGATTTAAATTGTTAGATATACTAAAAACCTTTTATTTTCTTTGACAAATATTTTTATTTAAATTCATCCTTTATATAGCATTTAATGCATGATAAATATTTTATATAATTTTATTTTATTTTGATAAAACCTTTTAGAATTGTATTTAAGTTTTTCAAAATAACTTAATATTTGTTTCTTACTCAAACTGAATATTTTAACATTTGGTATAATTTAAAATTATTTTGCCTTTTATTTTTGCTATTCATCATTTTTTATATTTAAAACTTTAACAGCATTTAATTTTATAAACCTTATTTATTTTTATTCGTATTTGTTAAATATATTCACTATATATAGAATTACAAAATTCATTATTACTTGGAAAAATAAAAGATAAATTCTTTAACTTATATCTGTCTAATCAATCACTTTCAACATAATATTCTAATAAATTCAGCAAAAAATATTGCAATAAAATATTCATTTACATAAAAATTACTAAAAAATTATACTGATCTCAATGGGTAATAGGAAAAAAAATCCCGGAAAAAACCCCCGGAAAAAAACCCCCGGAAAAAAACCCCGGAAAATAAACCCCCAGGAAAAAACCCCCGGAAAAAACCCCCCAGGAAATAAAACCCCAGGAAAAAAACCCCCAGGAAATAAAACCCCCGGAAAAAAAACCCCCAAGAAATAAAACCCCCGGAAAAAAACCCCCAGGAAAAAAAACCCTTGGGATTATTTTTATACACTCTCATATTTAAGTATAATCTAGCAATAATTTATATTGAATTGGTATTTAGTCAATTGCAAGTTAATAATCACATCGTAATTAGAGGATGTTTTTACCATTTGTGTCAAAGTACACATAGAAAAATTCAGAAACTGGGTCTGGAAAACGAATACAGGACCGATGATACTCTAAGTTTTTTTTGTGGTATGATAAACGGCTTAGCATTCGTTCCGTTATGTGATATGGGCAATGCAATGACATTCCTGAGATCGGGTACTCCGAGCAATGGTAAGGATATTCTTGATTATTTCGATAAAAATTATGTCAATAGAGTATCAAGGGAGGTCATAAAAAGCAATTCTAAATCCCAAACAGGTCGAATTGAGCCTCGATTTCCTCCAGAAACCTGGAACGCGAATCAGAGCACTCTCTCAGATGAAGAACCAACAAATAACCAATGCGAAGGTTGGAATCATCGTTTTTTTAATCTGGTTGGGAATAAACACCCATCAATCTGGGTACTCATTAAAAAAATGAAATGCGAGGTGGCTGCCGATGAAACCAAACTTGAAAGATGGCGCGTAGGTAGTTGGACATCGAAATCAAAATCGCAGAGTTCTAACAACCAGATTCAGCTAAAGAAACTTTGCGAAGAATACCGTGATGGGGTGCGAAGCCTTCCAGATTTTATAAAAGCGATTTCCTTCAATATTCGATGTCAACCCATATAATATTATTATAAATTATAAAATTTGTATATACATAATCATGATTTACCAATAAAATAAACATTTCTTATTATGTCAAATTTAGTCTATTTAATATCATATTTAAAGATGGTATTATATTTTTACTATAGCAAAAATTTTTTACAATTCATAGTTATTTTACTGAGGCATTTTTTCCCAGTACCAATTTAAACATCAGTTTTTCTTATTTAAGAATTTTTTTATGAAGAGTAGGCCAAATAAAAATATACCTATATTATTAGGTCTTAAGTAAATTCTATAAAAATGAAAAAAAATTATTGGGGAATTTTTTTTCCGGGGGTTTTTTTTCCTGGGGATTTATTTTCCGGGGGTTTTTTTTTCCTGGGGTTTATTTTCCGGGGGTTTTTTTTTTCCTGGAGGTTTTTTTCCAGGGGTTTTTTTTCCTGGGGGTTTATTTTCGGGGGGGGGGGGTTTATTTTCCGGGGGTTTATTTTCCGGGGGTTTTTTTCCGGGATTCATCTCAATGTGTTGTTATAAATTTTTCGTGGTAATATTTTTAAAATAAAGATCAAGTGCAAGTCTATTATTAAAATTTGTGGATTGCCTTTTAGTCAATTATAAAGAAATCTGTCACATTTGACTTATTATATGCAATGCAAATATATCAAAAGCAAAAAATTAAGAAGATGTAACTATATGTTTTTTTATTTTTGCATAATACTTAAAAAATAAATGACGATCAAATATATAATATATAACAAAACAGATTTAAAAAATACATTAAAATATGCAAAAAATTGGATTAATATTCGTTTTTTCTTTATGTATTCCGATTTTCTGTATTCCTTTAAAATATATTTCAATATAATTTATATTTTTATAAATTTACCTTAATTCAATGGTTGTCCTCGGTAACCAATAAAACAAATATTGATGCATCCTATTTTAATAACTTGAAAAGTCATAAGGAATAGTAATAATTTCATTAAGAATTGATGTTACAATGTATGATTTCGTTTCTTGTATTTGGTTGGGGATTGATTGGCCTATATTTGTTTTTTAATACCCCAAAGAAATTTTCTATTGGATTTATTTGAGGCGAATAGGGTGGCAAATATTCTATACGCTTTTTAAAACTATCTATGAGATGACTTTTGTGGATCTATTGTCCATAACAATAACTGATTGCTTGGTATAATATTAATAAGTTCTATTATATCTTCTCGAAATAGTAGACTATTATAAGGTACCTCGAATATGGGATAAAGTATCACATCTTCTAATCCCATAGTACATAATATACTTAAATTTTTACCTTTAGTTGGTGGGATTTTAACAGTTGGGTAACGTTATATGGTGCCTAGGCGTGAACAGGTACAACATGTAAATTTATGCCTGTCTCGTCTAAGAAAAATTTTTTTTATTGGATATATTCAATATTTTTATACAATAAATTTGGCGTATGTTCCTCGTATCAGGTTTATTTCCTGCACATTTTTTGGGCCATCATATTTTTTTAAATATATTTTCTTATAGTTCCTTCATTTTTAGGAAATCCCGGAGGTAAATTTTCTATAATATCTTTAATAATAGTGAATGTATTTTTAGCCATTAAAAGTTCCATTATTTTTCTTTCTATATTGAAGGTGTCTTTTTTTTCTACCTCTCTTTCCAATTACATAATCTTTCAAAGGGTCTCCGATGATTTCGGTTAAGGTTTCGCATCTTAATTTATTAATAGTCGATAAAGTCATATTTAAATACTTAGCGATATCTTTCATTTCGCACTCTCTCAGGTACAGTACAGATAATAATTTTTTTGCTATATCTATTTTTTTATTATTCCAGTTTTTATATTCCCTTCTTGGGAATAGCCGAGATTAAATATGCTGAATCGATAATAGAATCACCATTTAAAGAGGGAGAATTGATATGGAAATTATTTGTAGCATATATATTAGGTATTGAATTAGATAAAATAAAATCAGGATTTGATGTAAATGAATTTTAATTATTTATGTTACCAGATAAATTGTCGTATATTAAACATTTGAAAAAAATATTAAACTTTATTTTATAAAAAAATTTAGGTAATATAAATATTGTAAATGCAAAAAAATAACATAGAATTTATACCATATGTATTTTTGAAGTGTTTGTTTTGTTATATATTAATGGATATTTATTTATTTTTTAAGTATTATGTAAAAATAAAGACACATATTGTTTCATTCCTTTTTTATTTTTTTGTTTTTATTATAATAACCTAATGCTCGGAACACTATAATTAAGGAAAGGCAAAGGATTTATAATATTAAAATACTCTAGCCAATTTAATTGTTAAAGAGTAAAGTTTTAGATAGTTGATTATAAAAAAAATGATATAAATATAATAATTTAACATCCATTTTTGTACTGTGAATTCACTCTGTAATGTATTAACTTCAAATACATTGTATTTCGTTATTTTGTTTAAAGTTATAATTAATATTAAATGATTGATTATCATAAATGTATTTTCGAACTAAATTATTTAAATAAGAAATAATTTGTTGTGATAGGATAAAATTGGAAAAGTTAAATAAGGCCATCTATATAATTTTATTATAAACTACAAAAAAGTGAATTTTCCATATGTAAAAATGAAAGAGATGGTTCAACAAGTTGACAAATGCGAAAAAAGAAAGAATTAGACGCCTTATTCAATCATAGAATCAAATCAATGATGCCCGCGAGAAAGCACAGTACAAAGGGGTATATAAACATAAATAAAAATGGCAATATCGATGTCTTAGAAAATATTGAGATAAATAAAATGGAGAATTCTACCGGTTCTTCTAGTTCATTAGAGGAAATAAATTTACAGGAAAAGCGAAAAATAAGTACCAAGTACATTTTAATATCATTTATTTTTCTATAATATTTATCTACTAGAAAACATACAAACATTACCAAACTATGCAGCATATGTTTGGTATTTTTATTATTTCTTTCATTGATATTGAGTCTTACAATTATATTTATGCATCTTGAAACAAAGCAAGAAATTAATAATTTGGCATCACGTTTTAAATATAGTAATTATTAATGATTATTGCTTATAATATATTATTAAAACTAGTTGAAATTAAGAATCTTGAAATGCTTAAAGACACAAATAATTTTAAAACAAAAGTATTAAATTTGACATATTTAAATTCAGACAAAAAAGTATTAACATATGCTATATTTTTTTATTATATTTATTTTCATTTAGTTTGGTGATCAAAATTATAGTAAAAACATTGATTTATCTAAGATTATTCAAAAGAAACAAAACTTACAAATTATGAAAGTAATTTACTATTTATTTTAAAAACATTTGGATAACTAAATAAGTTAAAATTTTGTCAAGGTTCGAGTCTGACTTGAAATAAATTTTATTATCAATTAAGTTCTAAATAAATTTCTGTCCAAATTAGACTGACCCAGGTGCAATAAAATCAGACTAAATTATTCCATGTAGCAGTGGCGTAGCCAGGATTTTGTCATGGAAGGGGGGGAGGGTTTAAAGCCCCCAAACCTCCCATTTTTTGAACACTTAATTCCTTATATTTTTGGATTTGTTAAAATTGTTTTATATTTTCATATAACAAAATTTTAGGGTATTTTATTATATATTTTACATTCCTTTATTTAATCATGTATATATTTTTATTAATTAAAATATTTTCAAAATGTTGATATTTTATATAATATAGATTTTAATATTAAAAATTATAATATATAAAGACTATTTTAAAAAAAATTTTTTTTTACAATTATATAAAATATGTGTAATTCTTATGCAAATAATGGTATTTAAAAAAATATGATGATAGTATCTTATAAATAATACTTTTTTTACAAAAAAAATTGATTATATATTAAAACTAATAAAATTTTATTGCTATTTTTTGATTTGAATTTAAAAAGAGAGGTCTACTTTTCTCTGAGATTTTGCTAATTCATCTAGAATCAAATTTTTATCTAAAATAATCTCCTTATAAATATTCAATAGGGCTAATCCATTTAAACGTTTTTCACTGGTTGTGTTCCTTAAATAGGTCTTTAACCTTTTTAAAGTTGAAAAAGACCTTTCATTAGTGCAGGTACTAATTGGCAAGGTAGCTAAAATAATTAATAATGCTGATCTTTCAAATTTGAGATGGGAAGATATGTTGGTGGTGAATGAACTCTTACTATATGATATAAAATAAAGTAAAAATATTAAAGAAAATATTATACCTTTATCATCACCATCAGGAAGATTTTCCAATGTAGTAATAGGTGTAGGATGTGATTTGTTGAAATATGAATTAATTAATGATTGTGTTTTCAAATTGAAAATGAGAAATATAAATTTTTATAAAATAGAATATGACAACTTTTATGAAATACAAAATAATATATAATTTATTTGATAAATATAAAAATAATCAAATGTGTATATATTATCTATAATAAATTTAAAACATAAAAATCAAGCGTTATTAAGAATTCCCCCCCTCCCCATGCCTATGCCACTGCCATGTAGGCTATAATTAATATTTTAATTGAGTCAATTCATATTTTTTATATAAAATATTTAAATTATATTCCCTTAATATTATTTTTTACTGATTAGTTATTTTTTGGATGATAATATCAATTCTCAGTAGCAATAAGTTTCATATTCAATATTTATTTGTTCAACCTTCCACCTAAAAAGGCCTAATAGTAAACAAGTCTGCCTGGTTAGACCCAAATGATAAAACTTTTAGTTAAGACCCTGTCCCAATCCTTTTAATTGTAAATATCATACAGCAAGGATCATTAATTTTAGTGTATTCTTTAGCCATTTAAAGGCCATTTATTTATTAGATTATCCTAATTTTTTATAATTATTTAAATTCTATAAATTACAAGCATATGTCTTCTTAATACCAACAAATAAAAGTGAGCATAAGAGTTTGCCTAAAATATGCAAAATAGGCCAATGTTTTTTTAACACTACAAGAATTTAAATATAAGGTGATTATCTATTCCATTTTAGTATGAGCACCCTTGGCCCAAAACATTTGCCCAACTTAGACAATTGTCCAATTCATCTAAACTTTTTTTAAAAAAATACATTTAACCATCAATTATATATTCTTAGTTTAGCTAAAAGTCAGATTATATTCTCAAATAATTTTTCCTATAAACTTGTACAAAATAAGAATGTATAAAATTATTATAAAATGGTTGTATACAAAATAAGAGTAAAAAATATTAAACTAAATTATTATTATTTGCAGTATAATCGCATCCTTAATTGCATTTATTTCTTGTAAAATAACAGTTTTTTTTCTAACATAAATTAGTTTAATTTTTTGATCATTAATATGGACTATAAAAAAGATGTAGATAGACTTATATTTTCAAAAATTAAGTTTTAAGTTAATTAAAATTATTAACTTTTAAGTATTTTTCTTAATTAATTTTTTTGGGGCTGCTTTTAAAATTTTTATATGAACAGATCTTGGTACATTTTACAAAATATCTCAAATTTGGGGGAAATAATTTAGTCTAACATTTTAAAAAATGTTAACAAATTTTTACAAATATATGAAAATTAATTTTATTAAAACTATGTGCAAGAGTTTACTTAGAGCTATAGAATGAGTCATATTAGATGTATAGTACATTTTTATAATTACCCCAATTTTAAAAAATCATTCTTTTTCGAAAATGGCCAGGCAAACACACTTTGCTACCCTATATCTCCTGTTCTAGTAGAGTTAATGGGCTAATATTTTGGATTCGTCAATTACAACACTTCATTAACTTATATACCAAATTTTAGCAAAATCTGGGAGGGTTGTAAAGTTATCTGTTTGATATGGAATAATGACCCATGCCCAATTTGAGAAATGGGGGAGGGGGTAAATATTACAGTATAACATTCGTAAAACGTTCGAATTTCTCGTTTCCGTAAAGCAATTAAACAAGTTCAAATTTGGAAATGGTTTTTTTTAAACTGGATTAAACAAACATTTCCTTTCATTTAAAAATAAAATAGTCGCTAATGCTTCTGGGTAGCGATTTGGGCAAACTTAAAGCCGATATATCCGAAATAAAGGACTCTTTCGGCCGATACAAGAGCGGGTATTGGAAACCTATGAATCCTCATGGAAAATTGGGTCCAGATCAGTCCTCAATGTCATTGCTGGGTAAATCGGAAGTTTGGAATATTTCTAAAGTAATTCAATTATTATCTATTTTGAAAAAATATTGTGGGTATAGAATTGCAGTATTCATCTATCGATTTTTCATTCTTATATTTTTAAAACGGTAAGAAATAGAAGAATTTGATTTTTTTTTAGGATCTCACTAAAAATAATAAGTGGACAAACTTAATTATAACGAAATGATCAAAAGTTTTTGGATTTAAAAAAATTAGAACAAAAAACCCAATTTCAAATTGCAAAAAATTTTATAGGCATAATCTATATCCTCTCGAGATAGAATATAAATCATGATTTTATTTTCTATATATCTCAGAGACTCCAGAGGTGCCATTTGCAAGACTCGTACCGGATTTTTTTTTCAAAAATTTTTTTCGGCACGCCCCTGGCTATTTTTTTTTTTTTAAAAAAAAGAATTTTTCAGGCCCGGCCCGGATTTTTTAAAAATATATTATACTTATTTTTGATTTTTATAGCTAATGGCGATTTCAAATATTTAGTTTTAAAATATACGGCCCGGCCCGAACAAACTTGCAGGTTCTCTGGATATATCTACATAAAATGAACAATAAGTATTGAAATACGGATTTAGTGTATCAATTTTATCTTTTATTTTTGTAAAATAATAAATACATTATTATATATATATAAATCCCCCCCCCCCCTTCACCCAAAAAAAATCAATACATTATTACAAAACATCAATATATATATATCCCACTATAACAGTTCTGTCAATATACTTCTACACAATTTTTAATTTTTTGAAATCTTACAATCTAGAAGAGAAGCCAGTGCCAAGATTATTTTAAAAATAAATTAAATAAATGGACATACTTATAATTACTGTTGTTAAACGGCTCGTTTTGAGCCTATTTTTAAAAACAGCTAACTCAATATTTCAGCCAGAAAAATATTGCATAAGCCTCAAGATTTCGACAATATATGTCTGGACCTTTGTTCCTACTATGAGCAAAATTTTCAGGCTTGGGTAATATTTTTCTGGAGGAAATATTGAGTTAGCCGTTTTTAAAAATCGGCTCAAAACAAGCCGTCTTACAACACTACTTATAATATTATTACTTGCAGGGAAATCGTAACTTTTTTGCATATTTTCCTTTAGGGAAATAATATCTGAACCATCATTCAAAGTTACTATTAAATTTGCTTCCATTTTACTTCTAAAAAATCATTCCAAGTCTAAGGTCGGCGCAGGTAGAAATTCAACTCTTTCTGTTTCTTTAAATTTTGAAAGAAGCTAATAGTTTTTATAATAAATATGATTCATAATTTGAGATAGTATTTCCCATTTCAAAACGTTAACTAAATTTTTATTTGCTCCAGATATGCTTTCAAGCATAATTAATATACTATGCCGCCTGGTTGGGACATTTAATTTTAACGTTTTCATATGTGTGGCATTAATTTTACTATCATCATTGGAATCGCCAATTTGAAAGTGGGTAATCAATATCTAGCATATCTGATGTTAGATCTATTTTACTTGAACATTTTCTTTGACCTGCCTTGAACTTAAATTCAATCTTTGCAATTTTATATTTTAGAGCATTAATAATTTCTCTTGTTCTTTTGATGGAACCTTCAATAAAAAGGTATTTGATACCATCCACTGTAACCAGATTATTTAAACCATGACCAAGCATAAGTGATGTTCATATTCACCTAATCAAACACCCTTTCTAACATTGGAAATATGTAAAATTATGGTAACTTTTGGAATTTTAGATTTTTTTAATTGATTGAATTCTAAAATGATGTCAAAATAATTATGATAATAAAATAGGTATAAATTAGGAAATCAAAAATTCTGATTGACACATTGATCAATTATTAGAATAAAAATGCATAAAATATGGAAATTATTACCCAAGGCTAACTATACTCAATTTGCTGATATTGCAATGCGCTGTTACATATAAATTATTAAAACAATTTTCAAAAAAGATTAGACTTTTAAATTGGGCGCTCGTTGTTTCCTTGAAGAATTTTAATTTTATCACATTTATCTCTTTTCGGATGATTGAGCCCTAAATTAAAATTAATTATATTTCGGTAAGGCAGGCAATAAATCGGATTTTAGTAATGTATTTTTTTTATTTGCACTTCATTTTAATACATTTCTTTATTCTTTAAATTGAAGTTCTGCTGTGCATCATCTTTATTAGATTACTTTTAGAAATGAGATTTTAATCACGGGAAATGATTGGATATGATCTCGAATTTCTTTCATCGTTTCTTCTCTAATTTTTTTTTCTTAAAGAATGTTAGTCACTTTCATAGGCTATCTATAGTGGTATTTGAAACAGTATTCTTTCTCGTACTTCCGCTTCTCCACATTTAAAATAATAAAAGTAACTAAATTTTCGTAAAAAAAATATAATATCATGTTTAACCCAATGGCAAATAATAATGCCTAAAAAAAGTGAACATCAATAGAAAACAGCTGAGGACACCTTTATGCATAGAATATATATATATATATAATTAAAATTTTAATGTAAGCCAAGAAAAATAATATCCTACCTCACAATTATTACAAGGATATTCTCAAACAAAAAAAATATATTTATGCAGGCCAAATTCAAATAATTTAAAGTATTCTGGATCCTGTCACGTGGTCTCTAGCTGATCTTCATTCAACGACGCTTTAGAATGCATTATTATGAAGGAATCGTCAGCTTAGGCATTATTATATGTCATTGATTAAAAAATCAGTACTTAAATATAGAATACTGTAATCCCATACCCGGCGATATATATAATTATCTTTCATTTGTGATGTTAAATTAAAATCACGTGAGAGCACTGAGAAATAGTGATCTTGCAAAGCCCGATCCAATCCCTACCCTATGGTCCGAATTTATTTAAGTGTTAGGTGAGCATAATTAACGATATTTAGACCAGATGTAGATTTCCACTGAGAAATTCTTATAAGAAAGTAATTATTATTATTCCCTTCCTTCTCTATTAATTTAAGCTATAAGATTATGTTCGAATATGATTATGTAGTTATTTAATAATTTACTATTTATTTTTAGATCAACAGCACCGCTAAAACTATCACTGATCATTCTAGTATTATAGATAAATAGCTTTATCACACATTATATTAAAATGTATATAAATGAAAATTTTTTTTTTAAAGAATATTTAAAAATAATTTTTTTTTAATTTACATATACAAAAGAAAACTAGTCTATTTGTAATAAAATGTTGTATTTATAATATATGAAATAGAATGTGCAATTTATTCAATAAATATCGAATTAATATTTATATTATAGATAATATTTTTAAAAATATATATATATTTGTAAAATTTTTGCGCTTATAGACCAATTGTTTTTTTTTAAAAAAAATCGTTTTTGTCGTTAAAAGTATTAATAAACAGTTTTTCTAAAATATCATATTCTTTTTTTTATACAGGTCGCATATTATTGTATACTAATCAATTAATTTTTTTCTTGAGCTCATTTATAGCCAGTTTCACGATTTAACACGTAAGAAATTATATACTCATAAATTGTCCACACCTCCGAGGCTACTGGTAAGATTTTGGTACTTGGCAATAAAAATCCATGACCCATATCTTTCAATTCAATCACAAAACTGTATTTTATCTTCATATCGTCGTAGGCCCAGTCAAGTGATGAACCAGTTACGGCATCTTTTATATTAATTACAACGAGCAGTAAAAAAAAATGTAATCAAGTTTTCCATTTGCTTATTTATGATAAATAGCCTTGCCATCCATAGGTTTTTTAAAAAATAATTTAGAGCTAACATTAAACAATCATTTGTAATAGTTTATGAAATTAATTTTATGTATTATTAAAGTATATTTTACAAAAAAAATAATTATGTAATATAAATTTTATTCACCCCACTCCCCTCCCTCCTTTCCTTCGATTATTGAAATCGGGGTTTATTTTACCCCAGTCCAAAATTCCCCGTGATAAAACTTACATAAGAGTTGGGCGACACTTCCAATTTTGTAATTCGGTGCCGATTTTTTTGCTTCCCTCATGAGATCGCTCTAAAAATAATAAGAACTTAAAATGTTTAACTGTCACATCTAATTTTAATTTTTTAAAAAAATATGTTATATAGTATGTATTTACTAATTCCTCGTGATCGGGCGCGTTGTCATAAGTATAAGCAAAAGGGTACATCCACATTTGACTATACGCGTGAATAGTTAAATAGGAAAGGATATCCCATCTCCGGCTTCTTATAAAATCTGCCAAATTTCTCGTCTCGATTTCGGAGAAAGGACTTAATCCCTGATAAATTACTTCGCATGGGTTATCGTAGGCCACACCATGGGAGCCTAATGATTAGATAAAGTGTTATTTATAATATTCAAAGAAAGAAAGAAGGAGACTTTGCCCTGGATCGCTTAATTTGAATACTTAATTGCTTTTTTAGTACAGGCTATAAGGTATTTGAACAAGGACACTCTAATGTGGCTAGTTTTAAGTACGAAAAAATTCGTCTTTTTTAAAATAAGTTTAATTAAAAGCGTGTGTCTTAATTGTTCAAAATTTTTGTTTTAGATCTAACTAAGAGAGAAAATTGAATAGTAAATAACATTAGAATAAAAATGTTATTCTGATTGGTAATATGAAATATAGATTATATAATATATATATTTTTATAAATTTAATTTCTATGCACAAATAAACCCAATTTTGTTTAGAAATGAATTTTATACAAAATTTTAAAATACGGGTACTGTATAATTTTTAAAAATTTAATTAGTGTTGGTAATGATAAGTTAGATTCATTTCACTATACACCACATCGGTCTAGCATATAATGTTAGAAGATATGAAACAAAAATCGAGCTCTGCCAAATATTAAAAAAAATTGTAAATTTCAAGTTTACATTATAAATATTATCGTCTCTTATTATTCATAATTTTATCGTCTGCTTCATATATGAATTATTTTATTTTTGTTTATAATAACTAATACACTTCATTTTTTTATAACTATAAATAAAAGAAATAATTTTAGTGGAACTGCTACCGTTATCTATGCTCTAGCAGCCTATGCTGATTCACAAGAAAGATCTCAAGTAAATGAAACATATTTGAATCACCTTGGGTTTCAAAATTTAATGAATTATTAAATGACATTAACAACATATATCTATAAGATATTCAATATGTAATCATGAACAACTGGCTATTACTCTACCGTATATAAATTCAAGTTTTTCCCATGTAGGAGAATGAATAACACTAGTGAACTGTGAAAACTGTACCATGTTCAAATTCCAGTAAAACGCATGTAAAAAAATCTCAAAATAACGATAATTTAAAAACAACTTATACTCATAAATTAATAGCAGCACTCAAGTTTAATTCAATAACAACCAAAATTCCTCCTTCCATGCAAGATTATAAATCTGCATCAGAATATTTCCTTATAAAAATAATTTAAATAGTGAAGGTCAATTGTTTGAACCGAGAATCATTGGCATTTAGGTTTTTGGAATCTGGCAATTAGATCTTTAGAATCTGCTCCGCAGTTCGGTTTAGTTTTTCTATTGAGAGAAACATTGTATGTAATCTTTTTATAAGTATCAAAATGAATATAAATTATCAAAAATTTCCCAAATCTATTCAAATTCGATTCACATACATACTAGCTTTCTGCGTTTTTTGTTAATATATTATACTAAATATTAATTATTAACGAGGTTGTAATTAGTAGTGTTGAAACGACTCAATTTGAGTTTTAAAATGCTTACTCAATGTTTTATCCAGAAAAATATTAAGCAAGCCTAAAGATTTTGCTCATAGATGGCACATAGGATTGAGCATCTATAGGCGAAATCTCTACTCTTAGGCTATATTTTCCTAGCTGCAATGTTAAGTTAACCGTTTTTAAAATCGGCTCAAATTGAGCCGTTTAACAACACTAGTATTTAGAATGCAACTTTAAATTATAAAACGTTTATATGCTAAGTTTAGGAAATTAAAAAAAACCAATTTGACTTAGCAAAAAGAACAGGCAATGCATTGTCGAAATTATTTTTATAGTTGGTTAACGCATATATTGTCTAAAATTATGGTTCATGAATATATAAACTGCTAATTTGGCGATTCGTTTAATAATATCCTACATACATAGGATCAGTGTAGCGCCATTTTATGGTATGCTTATTGAATAAAAATATTAAATTCTAATTGAATTTAAACAAAGTCAAAATAAACTTAATGAGATCCAAGATTATCTTATATATTTATTCTTTATTAAAAATCATTCTTTTGCCTGTAAATTAATTCTTAAATATTGGTGAGAAGGGGGGGGGAATTCAAGGAGCTTCTGTTCTTTGTGAACTATTATTTTCTAAAGCTGGTGACAACTAAACAGAGAAATAGCAAAATGATTAAAATCATGGTTCAAAAATTGGAAAATCTTTTGCCGGAATTTTTTCTTATAATCAAATCTCATTTGAAGACGATATTATTTAAATAAAAAATAATTTTATTACTCTTGGGTGTTATTTATCATATTTTATTTTATATATAATTATATTTTTGTTAAATATTGTAAATATTCAAAAACCGATTCGCTTCGGATTAGTTCGGTTTCTACTGCGGGATGGCTTTGTCTATATCAGAGATTTGCAAAGGTACCATTTGCAATTCCCGGCCCGGGTTTTATACTTTCAGGTCCGCCCCAGATTTTTTTTAAATAAATTTTATTTGTCGTTAATTTTTATAGCCAATAATAGCGATTTAAAATATACGTTCGGGCATTTTTTTAAAAAATTTAGGCTCGAACCGGGTATAATTCAAAACTCTCTATAATCGCTTTCATCGGTTCCTTCGAACAGCGGGACTTTCACTAAATTCAAATCTCATCGCTTTATGGTAAATACCGGATTTATAATCGTATTAAATAAAATATAATGTACCAAAAAATTTCATTTAAAATAATAAACTTTCATCCGTTCCCCATGATTTGTGACCCCAATTTCGATTCAGATCGACGCCGGTACATTTAGATATCCGATCTGGCCGCCGGTTCTTTCTCCAGGACCTATCCTTATTTATATAATAATAAACAATACTATTTTTATGTTCTTTCCCCGTACAAAAAAAAAGACATGAGTTCATATGACATATTTTATCCCTATAAAGAACCAATTTCAGTGTCTTCCTTCCGTCCTTTCTTTCCTATGGATTTTTTCTTTTTTTTAGAAATATACTCGTTATTTTATTTTAAATATTAATATTAACCAATTTATGATTAAACATTGTATTCGTCACTAGTGTTGTTAAACGGGTCGATTTGAGCTGATTTTTAAAAAGAGCGAACTCGATATTTTAGCCATAAAAATATTGCCTATGCCTTGAGATTTCGCTACTACAGTGTTGTGATGATTTAATGAAACATACAGACGATTTAATTAAAACACATGCATTTATAATTATAATCTTTACAAATGTACAACAAAAGAAATAATAAAAGAAATTTCAATAATGCTTCTTTGTCTATATTTTAATTATTTTTGCAAATATTATCATTTTATATGAATGGGTTCAATATGTTTCATTAAATCATCACAACAATGTAGATGTCCAAACCTTTGTGCTATCTATGAATGTAATATTTAGGCTTGCGTAATATTTTCACAATAATAAATTGAGTTAGCCTTTTTTTTAAATCGGCTCAAATCTAGCCGTTTAACAACACTATTCGTCACTTAGTTACATTCTTTTATTACATTTCGGCCAAAAACATGGCGAAAGCATTTTCTGGTTAGGAATTTTTTTTTGTTTGTAAATTTTGCATTAGATGTTGTTTAAACGGCCCAATTTTCATTCGATTTTTAGGTCCGATTAAGATTTTCTCCCATACTATGTAAACCACCTTAGAGGTCCAAACCAAACCTATCTGCCACCTAAAATCTCTCCAGGACTTACAATATATAATTTTGGTTAGAATGCTAATCGGGCTGGTTTTTAGAAATCGAGTCGTTTCACAACACAAATATTATGAATTCCCATTTTTATAATATAAACTTGACCGTAACTAATACCTTATATACAAAATTAAATATTCGTATTTTTAGAATCAAATAATTTGTATAAATCATAAAAAATCGAAATTTTTTTTTACTCATATTCGTAACAAATAATTCGAAAATTAAATTCCATATTAAAATGGATTATCGAAGATAAAAAAAAATGGTGGAAATAAAGTTTAAATAAAAATGAAGTATAGTTCCTCAGGGGTAGTGTAAACTTAATATTTCATTCAGAAAAATATTACGCAAGCCTGAAGATTTTGCTCATATAAGGAACAAATGTCTAGACGTATATTATCGAAATCTCGAGGCTTAGACTATATTTTCCTGGCTAAAATATTGAATTAGCCTTTTTAAAAAATCGCCTAAAAATACGCCGTTTAACAACTCTACTCATGGGGAACAAGTTAAATACTTACGATTAATCTTAATATTTATGAATAATTCCGAATATTGCGAAATAATTTCGAATGTTTGCGAATCATTTTCAAATTAAACGTATAATTTGATCGAATAATGGCGAAAAAATTTTATTCGGCGTTACGATATATTTTCTATTAAACTTTATTAGGTATTTTCGCTTATCATTTAATTTGATCGAAATTAAAAAAATATATATACTTTAGTATGCGAATATTCGTAGCCATCAGGGTTAAGGATTGGCATTATGTAAAAGTCAGCAGTCATTACAAAATCTCTCATCGTTTTGATAACTTTTGCATCTTGTGTCCATCTTCTAGGTTCCAACAACTCATCAAATTATTAGTTCTATTAATTTTTTCTTTAAAATGTAAATTGTTTACTCGAGATATAAAATACATGGCGGTAGTAACTGTCGGCCATTCTCGCGCGTGTATTCCACCATCTACAAAAAAGGCAGGTTTTTTGGACCCCGTATCGCGCCCTATCTATATTATTAATTTTTAAAAAAAAATTAAATAGAAAATCTATTAAAACATAATTGGGTTCTCCTTTTAAGAGATTGGAGCCGGAACTAGAAACTGGAACACTCGAGAACTCCCTCTTCTTAAAAAAATAATGGGAACAACCGTCTTATCCAAAGTATCTTACAAATAACTTATATTTTTCAAAATTATGTGTGTCTACACGAGAGAAGAAAAAAAATTGCAGACATGATTTACTCTCTATCCTTCTCAGAGTTATTAAAGCGAATGCCCCTTCCCTCCCCTCCCATTCTACTTTTCATGTAGATACTGAATTTGTTGATTTATCTCGTGTTTAAATTTTTGAGAGATTGGAAACAAAATCTTTAACCGGATCAGATCTAAAATCTGGAACCATAACATCTTTTTTTTTAAAAAAATTTTTTGAATCAAATCCCTTTTTTCTAGAACTCGAAACTATTTTAAGTCTAAGTTAGAGGTCAGTTTAAGTCCAGAGATATTGTCAAAAATATTTTCGGGCCAGGCCAAAGTTTTAAGAATATTTTCTGGTCTAGCCCGTAAAATAGTTTTGAACAAGCTTTCAATTGCCCTACCCTTGTGGCGGACCGAACTCTGCGTTAAATAAATGAAAGCACATGAATAGTAATGCTAGCTATACCTTAGAAATTAAAATCTTCATTGTAATGTAATCTAATTAATTAAAACTCGGGGAGCCTGGCTGAAAACTTATTTATTAAAAAAAATCTAGACTTGGAAAATTTTTTATTCGTGAACCTGCAAAGCGATAAATGGGAATATATTTACATCCACCTTTAAAAAAAAGAATAATTTTTTTTATCATTCTAAGAGGCCATAAATATTTGGGAAACAAGGATCAATGTTAACTCTGACCTCCCCCCCCACAACCCATAGACAGAAAGACTGAGACACTCCGGTAGTTGCTCGCTGCGTTGAAACACTAGAATGCAATTCACTGACCGCACCCTGTTTTCTTCCCTGCTCAATGGTACTGGGCATGAGTTTCATCAAGGCCATTCCTTCTCTCAATCTTCAACTTCAACGTTCTAACAACGAACTTACTCATGCCATCGGCATTCTTCTAAACTGCACCATCACCCACCCTCACTCTGTTCAGGTTGTAAATCGTCGACATGAAAGGAAGACATAGTTTACATCGTCGCTCCAGCAATGGTCGAGTCATCAGGCACACAATGTAATTCAATCATCCAACATGCCTTGAAATCAGCTCAAATACCTCCTATACTAGAACATCCAGGGTCTTTTTAGATTATACGGTAAACGTCCTGGCGGGATCACTCAAATTCCGTGAAGGAGAAGCCAATTATTGGTGTGGGAATATGCATGTATAGGCCCCCTGGCCTCATATAACCAAGCCCTTAACATCATTGATCAGAAGGAACAACATAAAATCTCTCAAATACACAGAAATTTTAAATGACCATTGTTTCATTCCTATCATACACTTACCACCTTTGACAAACTTGCCATAGCATTCTTCAAAAATTTAGGATCACAAATCAGCAAACTCTCAGAAGAAAGAGGGTTTTTTTACAAAGGTTGGCCATAGCTATACTTAAACACATCAATCTACTATCCAAAGAGCTTTCCTACACCCTTTCTGAAAGAATGTTATTCTCTAAATGTTATGTTAAATTAATTGTTTACTAATTAATATTAATGTAGTTAAAATAAATTTAAGAAAAAATAACTTTGAGAATTTTCATACGCCTCCCTTCGTAAGATTCTCCGATATCGATTATTGTTACCAATTTGGGATATTTTTCCGCTAAAAATTCGAACCAATAATACACCTGAAATGTAATTTAAAAATCATAAACAAAGCAAAAAATATTTAAGAAATTTTAGGGAATTTGAATAATTTTTTGTTAAAGTTGCATGTTAATTTTGTCTTAAAAAAATGATTAAACTCTTTATTTTTCATTAAAGTTTTAAAACTTTAAAATAAAGTCGTTTTAGCTCTAAAGCCTTGACCTTACCCGTGTTATTTTTAGTGTTGTTAAACGGTTTGATTTGAGCCGATTTTAAAAAAAGGCTAACTCAATATTTAATCCAGAATAATATTGCAATCCTGAAGATTTTGCTCATAGATGGCACAAAGGTCTAGGAATCATTGAAATCTCGAAGCTTAGGCTTTATTTTCTGGCCAAAATATTGAAGTAGCCGTCGTTAAATCGGCTCTAAACGATCCGTTTAACAGCAATAATTATTTTCAAAGCTTGTATTTTGAACTTAGGACACCCTATTTGAAAGAAAACGAAATGTATTATAATTAAATAAATATTATTTGTTTATTATTATTTTATCGGTTTAAAAATAAAAGCAAATGGCGCCGTATAATCTAAAATGGCCTCTTTCCTTTTCGGGATGTTTAGAGGACACTATATATATATAGCTAAATAGAACATATTGTTTAGAAATGAGGCGTACCGGGTCACGGCTTATGTGCTAGGAATAACATTTTTCTAAGCAAAAATATGGAATATAATTGAATAATATGAGGAGATTTAAAAAATTAGCAGTAATATTTGGAAATAATGCTGAAATAGAGAGACAAACCTCAGCCATTCTGGGATAGTATTCAAAGTCGAAAGAGGTCATGCTAATTGATAATCGTGCTATATATGCTTCATTCTTTTGAAAATCTATCAATCTAAAATCATTTTAAAATATTTATGGATTATTTATTTTTTCTTTATTTTTAAAAAATTATAAAAATTTTTGTAGCACTATTAACCTTTGAAAGATTATTTTTTTTATATTAATAAAAATTAGAATATTTTTTTATTCGTGAAAATTACAAAAGATTTGCGTATAACTTAGACCCGACTTAACCTGCACCTTCTGGTCCAATGGGAAATCCCTTTTTTGGGATGCAACCTGCGTACATCCTTTCCTACATCAATTAACACAAACCCTCTTAATTGTAGGGAAAATAAAAAAATTAATAAATATTCAAAATTAAATAACTTTATATTTCAGCCAATAGTCATTTAAACTAACGGCAATTTTTCACAGTATATTTTTTTTAAAACTTTATCCCGAAATTTTTCTAGCATAACAAACGAAAACCGCGGATCTTTATTTCTTAAACTAAAACTTCAATTGGAAATTTTTAAACACAATTATACTTGCTTTTTAGGTACATTTTCATTATAAAATTAAGCTCTTTTTAGAGCCTTCATACTTTTAATATATGTTTTTATTTAGTCATTTTATAAATTTTTATATATTTTTTTAAAAAAAAAAATTAAAAGATTTTGGCAACATTTTATTTTTTTTCATTTATATCTTTTTTTAACAATAAAATAATAACCAATTATGTCAAAATAAAAATTCAAATTGGTATCAAAAAAAATGTAATGTTATTATGATATTAAAAAAAACGTTAGTATAAAATAAAAATTATTTCACCGAAAGGTATAACAAACAAAATCAGATTATTTAACATAACACAGATAAATATTAAGCAAATCTTAAAGGTTTTGTTCATAGATGACAGAGAGAGATGGGTACCTATTAGAGAAATTTCGAGGCTTATGCAATATTGTTGTCTAAGTTCAAATCGACCTTTACAAAACTAGTCCTAAAGTTAAGGGTCTGTGTTTTTAGTTGATCAGGATTAGAGGTCTGCATTGGACGGGTTTTTAATCCGTCAGCGGATTAGAATTTTTTAAAGAACAAACGAGGAGCGGGTTTAATATTTAAAATATGAGCGGGCGGGTTAGAAATTTACAACTTTTAGTTGTTATTTAAATTTATTTTAAAAAATATGCTCCCAGAAATTTCAACATCTTTAATACCAGTCGTCGGTAGAAATTAATTAGGTTAAAAAATATATCGAGAACAAGTTGGATCTGATTTGCATGTAAGAATATAACATTAAAAGATGATTAATTATAAATTCAATGCTTGAAATAGATAACATCCTCGTTAAAATTAAACAAACAACATATGGAAAGAAGTGGCTGTTACAAATGAGGAGCATTACCTAATGAAATAACAAAATATTTAAATTAAAGTAGCGAGTTTTTGTATAATTTGTCAAGATTTTAGGCTACTTAGTTTAGTTTAAGTTTACAATTTATAAACAATTTATTTAAATTCCTTTTCTTTATGTATTATTAATGGTTTCACTTTTTATTTAAATATCTCACTTGAGTATAGGATATAAGACTTAAAAAACTGCTCATTTTTAAAATCGAATTCTTTGGATTACTGGCCACTATACTAAAAATAAACCGGCGTAATATATGCTTTTGCGAAAAAAGTGCGTTCTTCAAATTTAAATGCCAAAATTAACGAGCTATTTTTTATGGAAGGGAAAATTTTTTAAATGAAGGATTATATTCCCCTCTTAAACCCTTCAGCCCCACGTAGTTACACTACTTTTCCAAATTATATAAAGTGGGTTTTATGGAACTACCTTATGCATAGGAGAAAAAAAAATTAAGATTAGGAAAAGGTGGAGAAGATTAGAATTTAGATAATATGAAAAGATTTATCTGAATGGATGTAGGTCATATTCTTACGGAATCCTTAGAATCCTGGAACGATTACTTCAGTGTTTATTTTATTTTTGATAAACTCACTAATACATCCGAAATTTTTAAATTATTTGCTCAGGTTTTAAATTATTTATGATTTTTTAATATCTAATCATATCTAATTACGATATTCGGAGATGAAAGAAATTCAGCAATCTGGCAAAGAAAGATGCGGTATATAATTTTTAAAATTAAATTAGAATAACTTCTGGATATCGTCTAATTTTATAGCGTATTCTATGTCCAATTTATTCAATAATGATATAAAATTTTGGTAGTCAACTTTTGATATCATGATATCTATATTCATACCGCTTCCGTTCTTATAATAAGACCATATGTTATTCTAGTAAAATGTATATATTATATATCATTGACCTTTATTTTTATTTACATCAGTATGGTTAACTTGAAATTCATATATTTTTTTGAAATCCAAATCATTTTTAGTCTGTAACTTTATGAGCTTAAAACTATTTTATTTTAAAATAATTTTTTTAAAAAAATTGATATATATATATACTTTTACCCTGAATAGGATTTGATGCTAAGAATTTCGGGCATATGAGTAATCAATTGGATCAAAATGATCAAGATATTCATATTTACTCAAAGATTTAATTTTTCACTGAATGATGAGTATATACTTGATAAGGCTACTTATAGAACTAATGAAGAAGATTTTGACTCCTTTAAATTTTCAAGGTATTTCAATGCAATTTTATATAATTATAAAAATGCAAATATATTTTATATATATGTTTTCGATAGATTAAAATTTTACATACAAGTTTAGTGTATTTCGAACCGTTCTAATAAGAACAATGTTTAAAAATAATATGTAACTTTATCTCGGATTTTAAGTTACAATTATTCGCCCAAGACGTAATGCCTAGATTGATTTGGCGTAGGCAAAATATATAGGGTATGCCCGGAAGGCAAAGCAATATTATATATCAATGCCTAGTCCAACCCTTATCTATAAAATTTATAAAAGGTGCATAGGGGGGTTATAATAGATTGCGTTAAATTTCTTCTCTCTCTCTATGGGTAGTTTTTCAAATATACATTATAGCAAATTAATTTGCCAAATTTATAATTGTGTCTTATTTCATTGCGAGTACTATCAACTGATTCCCTGATCTTAATCAAATCATAGGAAATTAATAAATCGTGAAAAAGCTAACAACTCCAACCCCCCCCCCTTCCCCAAATTGTTTAGAATAACAGGAGTATTTTGCCTATTACTTATTTTTTTTAAAAAAAAATTAAACTATGGGATTCCAAAATGAAAGAATTCTAGAATGAATTTAGAGAGTTCTTTTTATTTATTTGCGAAATAATTCAAATGTAAATAGAACACAATACATTATTTTTTTGCGAATATAGTTATATATCAGTTATATTTTATAACAACTTATTTTTCAAAAAATATTTATCGCTGATACTAAGCTCGATTTGAGCCTGATTTTTAAATACCGCTAACTCGAGATTTTATTCAGAAAAATACACAAGCGTGAAGATTTTGGCTTTAGATGGCTCAAAGGTTTAGGATATACTATATTAGAGAAATCATGAGGCGTATGCCATATTTTTCTGGCTTAAATATTGTGTCATTGAGTCAGCCATTTTTAAAAATCGGCTCATCGAGCCGTTTATCACTAAACGCAATCAACTCCGCAAATCAAAATAAACACCCAATAGCTGTAAGAAACACCTATTTATCTGTTAGATACTCAAATCGATAAATATAAATTTCATATAAAGTCATATTAGAGGTCTGCATTTGGGCGGGGTTTCGGCCAGTTCATCTAAGCGAACGGCAAAAATTTTTAAGAACGGGCAGGCGGGTGGTTTAAAAAATTTTTAAACTATGGGCGGGTGGGTAGGCGGGTTAAGAAGTTTAAACAATGGGCGAAAATCATTTAAGTAAATATTGATGAAAAATTGTTTTTTGGTTAATTAAAAATTAAAATGTCCCTTTTTGGTATTATATGACATTCTTCTTTTTTTGCTTATTAGTTTTGGGTAAGTAAAATAGGTTCCATCTAAAATGACACACTCCCGCCCGATAAACAACCCCTCTCCCGGTAAGGGCCAGGTTGTGGTGAAGCCCTAAGTTATATTAAATATATAAAGGTTGTTTTTTAAAAAAAATACTATGAAGAATTATTTATACCGCCAAAAATTTATATAAATAATGCGCATAACTAATACTGCTGTAATTTTTTATTAAGAGAGAAATCGACATTATATAAATCATTTATTATTTTTTCTATATATTTTTGAGCGCAATGGGTCGTTCTACTTTTTAACATGTAAAAAATTATATATTCATAAATTTCCCACGCCTCCGAGGCACCTGGTATAATTTCTTTACTCGGCGATATATCCATTTTTTTCCCCGATCTCTTAATTCAACCGCAAAACTGTATTTTATCTTCATATTGTTGTAAGCCCAATCCATTGATGAACCTGCGGTGTCAAGAATAATAAAAATCAAGTCTTCTAATTTTGTGGCAAAAATCCTTTAGATTTAATAACAGGGTTAAACCTCTCCCTCGCTCCTTATATAGCTTTATATTCTTTTATTAACCCATTTCTTGAGAAAAAAAATATTCAAATATACAATATTTTGTAATGGTTTAAAAATTATTTCAATTTATTAAAATAAGTATATTATGCAAAAATTATGCAATGGTTATCAATCCCTCTCCTTATATATTATAATCGGGTTTTATATCCCCTTTCAAAAACACCCCTTATGATAAAACTTACATCTCATCATAACACTTTAGAAACAAGAATGTTATTGTTCAAATATTATTTCGAATTAAAAAATGTAGTTTATTTTACTAATTCCTTATAATCGGGCGCAAGATCGTGAGTGTGAGCAAACGGGTACATCCACATTTGGCCATATGCGTGAAGAGTTTAGTAGGAGAGGATGTCGCATTTCCGATTGCTTATAAAATCTCTCACATTTCTCGTCTCGATTTCGGAGAAAGCTTTTGTTCCTTGATAAATTTCCCCGCACTATTCATCATGGGCCAAACCTTTAAAACTTAATCCTAAAACAATTTTTATCCAGTTTTAAAGGAAAACTATTTAAATATAATGTAATCCATTGTTGGTTCCCCATGATACATGACCCCAATTTCGATTCAAATCCTCTCGACACCGACACATTTAGATCCCAGGTTTAGCCTCCTGTTTGTTCTCCATAATCTATCCTAATTAATATTTATGTTCTCAAATGTATAAACTAGTTCATTGTGTTTACCCTCCCAAAAAAAGGTTCACTGCACATATATTCTTTAAAGAACTCTTTCAGTTTACTAAAGTCCTTCCTTCAAAATGTAACTTAGATAAAAATGATAATTTATAAAATAAAAAAAAATTGCCAATAAATTTCTTAAATTACTTACCAACCAGTTGTTGATTTAAATCTCTTTCGTCGATATTTATTAACCTCAATAATTTGATTGGTTGGTTGGAATTTAAATGATGCCTACAACATATCTTATCCTTTTAACTATAATAAACTAGTTCATTGTCACGTTTATCATCCCCCCTAAAAAATGAGTTCAGTAAGCCCGTATTTCTTTAAAGAAGCTCGTTCAGTTTTACTTACTACAGTCCTTCCTTTAAAATGTAACTTAAATAAAAATGATTACCTTTATAAAATAAAATAGGAACTTTCCTTTTTTAAAAAAAAAATAATTGCTTATAATAAATTTCTTAAATTATTTACCAATCTTTCGTATATTTATTAACTACAATTAATCTGATTGGTTGATTAGGATTAAATAAGACCTACATTATATCTTATTCTTCAGTGGCGTCACCAGAGGGAAGCGCAGGGGCTGGAGCCTCCTGAAAAATTTGAATAGCCCCCTGAAGCAAAAAATATTTTAATGGAACCTTAAACCCTTGAACTAATAACTTTTTTATTTCTTTTACAATTCTATTGAGTAATATATAGATTTAATTTTTTTAACTCAATTCAATTTTTATTAAACGAATACTAATTTAAATATTAAATTAGAATAATAAATACTATAAATTATATTATCACTATGTCTGCTTGTAATCAAATTCTGTGTTAAAAATAGAATATCAACATTCACTAAATATGTTGAAGCTTAATTGACTATTATTATTTAAATTATTATATAACATTAATTAAATAGATATAATCATATATTAAATAAAAACTAACTAATTTAATATATTAATTAGTCGACTTCAAAATGACTAATCAATTTCATTTTTAAATTTAATTATCATACCTATTTCTAAAAATATTTTCAAAGTCCAAATAAGTATAAGAGATTTCTTTATAAAAAATAAGTAGACCAATAGTTTATAATCCACTATTTTATACAGTTGGTTATAAAATATTAGATAAAATGCCACTTTTATAGACGTATTCGAGTTATAAAATATATTACAGCTAATATTATAATAAATTTTACCAATAAATGCTTTTGATGATAAATATAGTAATAATTTGCATTCAAGTATTTAACGCCATCTATTTAGTTATAAATATTTTAAAAAATTAAACATTTTATTATTCATTTTACAATGGATGTAATAAATTAGATATCTTTTCTTCTCTTTCTTTACGTGTTTTTAAGAAAGCTTTTTTTCTTTTTCAAAAAACAGTTTTGAGTTAAATTTTTAATACAAGTATATTGTTTTATATTATTACAAACTAGAAACCTTCATGGGCCGGGTATGGGCCTAATTATTTAGATGAAGCAAATATCCCTAGAGCTTCAAGTAACATATATTTTATAAATATGTTTATTTATATAATATTTTTAGATACTTCAGATCTTGATGAAGTGCATGTGCATATTCCTATTCCTACTTCGAGGATTACTAGAACTACCAGTAATTTATTCTTTATAAATCTTTTTAGCCATATAATATTTTTAGCTTCATCATCATTATTGGATATGTATTCATGGGAGGATGATACAATACTTCATAATGAGACGGATGCTGATCAGATTAATTTATATATGGATATTCAGCTAAATGAAGAGGATATCAACTATGATGACTGCATCCTAGATTGGTGGAAGAAGCATGAAAAAATCTTGCCAAAATTGGCAAGATTAGCCAAAAAATTCATGCAATTCCAGCATCTAATGTTTCCAGTGAACGGAATTTCAGTACTATTGGAAGGGCTATTGAAGAAAGAAGAACAAATTTAAATAACGAAATTGTATATAATATATTATATTTAAATGATAATTTGAAAATATAAATTAAAATTTTGCTTATAACATTTATTAATATTATATATATATATTATTACTAAATAAAATATTATATTTCTATTAGTATTACTTCAGCAAAAGTTAAGTATACATAAAATAATTTTATGGGCTAGGGCCGGGTTTGGGAAATTTTTTAAATATTATAGCTGGCTTGGGAATTTTTTTAATTATTAAAAACGGGCCGGGCCGGGGCGGGGCGGGCCTGGGCGTAAAATTTTATTTTACGATGGGCCTAGGACGGGTTTGGTCCTAAAATTTAGGTCCATGAGGGTTTTTATAACAAACTACTATTATTTTAAGATATAAAAT